AGGAGAATCTTCAGCATCCGTGATATACATGAGAGCAAGAGATCATCGGTTCTAGGACTTCCGTGATACCATGGCGAGTGTGGAGGAAGTGGAGCTGCCCTCAAGTTCTTCCGATGCAGAAGTTGTCAGCTTGCCTTCTGGCAGTGATGGAGAAAATGAAAGAAATGGAGGGTGCTGCCGGCAAGGATGTTTGATGGTGTTGGGCGAGAGCAGCTCCTCCCAACGAATCGTAGATGACTTGCAACAAGCACTGCAAGCTGCTTCAAAATCAGATTCGGATAGAATCCGCTATGATTGCATGCGCAATTGGCACACTGGGTCTGGGTGGCGGCAGCACACTTTCTGCGGGGTGAAAGTATGCAGAATGGCAATGTGTGGCTTGCTGAACATGAGCACTAGGCGGTTTGCGAAGATGCAGAAGCACCAGGCACAGGGCTTCCTAGAGCCACCGAACGACTTGCGAAAGGTCGTCTCGAGCCAATTGTCCTCGAACCCAGCAGAGGTGAATGCTCATAGTTTGCTGGCGTGGGTGCATCTGCACATGGCCGAGCCTTTGGTGGAGTCTGGTGATGTTTTCACCTCAACGAAGATGAAGCTGGGCAGCTTCAACAAAAGCGGCCTCTTGAAAGAGTCAGCCCTGGGCGATGAAGTGGTTCGCTATCTGCCGCCACACACGACCTTCACAGAGATGCGCCAGGTTGTGCCCCGGCCGGAGACAGATTGAGAAAGCAGCAACAGCAGTTTCAATAGAATCCATAGGTTCGGTTGGGCAGGTAATTTGGGAAATACATCATGGCGACCTGAGGCGATGTCTTTCATGCCGGTGGACCCTGCCCCGAGCTACTCGACGTTTGTCCGATGCTTTCACCAATCCTGGCATGGGCGGCTCAAGATCAGGTACGACCTCCAGCACTCCAAGTGCGCCGAGTGTGAGAAGCTGAAGCAGTGGATGCGTGTGGCGACCGGTCCAGAGGACCGGCAGCTCATCAAGAACGATTACTGCCAGCACCTGCAGTCGATGCTAGACGACCGGCGCATGGATGCAGAGCTGAATGCTCAAGGCAGCTCTGGAGAAACCATGGTGTCGCTCACGATCGACAGCATGGACTGCGCCAAATTTAAGTGCCCACGGCGCTTGTCGGCGTCCAAAGAATTTCAGAAGCTGTGGAGACCGGAAAATACTTTTACCGCTGTCTTGGCGGACAGGTTCTGCGAAGACTACTATGTTTTGGACCAAGATGTGGTGAAAGACTCCAACCTCATGCTTACACTGCTGCTTCGCACACTGCAAAGGGCCATGAAGGAGCGATCATCTGCGCCAAAGGTGATCAGGGTCCACAGTGATAATGCAGCAGGCGAGACCAAAAATCAGATTGTTCTGAAAGCAGGGGCCGTGTTGGTCCGGCAGGGGTGGTGCCGGGAGTTCTTGCTGACAAGCTTCCGCGTTGGACATTCTCATGGTCCCGTTGATCAGAAGTTCAGCGTGGTGCGGTCCCTGTTGGCTGACAGCGAGGACCTGGAGACACCTGAAGACTTCATGTCTGTGGTGGCAGGGGGTATGAAGCCCAAGCCGGGTCAGAAGATCAACGTGGAGAAGATTGAGGGCAGCTACAACTTCAAAGACGCTCTGGAGGAGTTCGCTGCCATACAGTTGGCAGGGCATGTGCAAACAGCCGCCATGACACAGAGGGGCGAGGAGGCCATCCATGTCTTCTCCTTGGTGCAGCGGAAGCACTACAATCCAACCGAGGATCATCCTGTGCGAGAGTGCCTTTTGTTCCCGCCACATGAGGATGATATCATCTTGGAGATGTTCCAATACATCTCCTCGCCAGATCAGTGCCAGGATCCCATTGTCTTCATTCCTGCATGTGTTGGCAGAGACATCGATTTTGCGAGCCTGCCCCTGGCCCCACGCAGGGAGTTCTCAGACACACAAGCCAAGGAGTTTGAAAAAACAGCGATTCAGATTGCGAAAATGCCATGGAACATGGGACGGGCCAGCTCTTACTTGAGGACGATGATCAGGAACAATGCCTCTCCTTCGACCGCTCCTTGGTCTGCTCCAGACATTCGTCTGTCCCTGAAGGCAGCAGATGCTTCAGCTGTGAAGGCCGAGCAGCCATCGCCAGCCGAGGCGATGGATCTGAGCTTCACAAATCGTGCTCCAGCGCCCGTTTCTGTGAAAGTGAATAAGAAGGTGGCCACAGCTGCCAAGTCCAAGCCAGTCCAGAAGGTGGCCGAGGCATCAGACGATGTGCCGTTGCCGGATGACGACGACCAGCAGCCTCCGCAGCTTGCACCGGCGACCTCTGCGAGTGCAGCACAGGGAGCGCCGCTTCGAGTGCCGATACCACCGTTGGCCAGTGCCCAAGTGAAACCCAAGGCCAAAGGCAAGGCTAAAGGAAAAGCGAAGGCGAAGGCCGCAACGGGCACTCCAGCTTCTAGCGGAGCAGAAGGTGAAGGTGCATCCGCCGAGCCACGAGGAAAGAAACCCAGGTATGGGATGTTGCCCTTTCCAGACGATGTGCATGAAAGGTGCACTCTGGGATGCCCGAAGTGCGTCCACAACAGGCACATTGGTTGTGCAAGATGTCGGGCCAAGCAGGGTCTAGTTTTGAATGATGAAAAGACGGCCTGGATTTGGGCCGATGGGTCATGATGCTTCAGCCTCTCGCCTCGCGTACTCGTCGACTCTGGACATAATATCTTATTCGCAAAAGCAACCTAGGTAAAAACAAAAAGCGAGGCCAGGGCAGATCTGAAGCAGCATCGTAGGCAGAAAGATGGAAAGGCACTTTGCCAATCATCCGCTCGTGTGAGTTGCAGTCCGTGACATTCTGACACAGCGACAGAGAGCTTGAAAACATGACATCAATCTGCTGCGCAAGTGCATAGATGTTTGCTTTCAGGCAGGAGCTTGAGCATCTGTTGTTCGTTGTGCTCTCTTGCAGGCTGCTGCCCGGGAGGATGGTCCAGCCCTGAGCTGGCGTGCAGCAGGCAAGCAGCCTCGGTTAGCTCTCACTCTGTGAGCCACATCGAATTCCGATTGAGCTGGACTTGAGACGTCCTGGACTTTATTGGCTCACGTAGCACACAGTGAGTGAGACCGTAATGACGAGATCCAAGACTGTTCTCTTGTAGAGAAGGACACAGGCTCAATGTGCTACGTGCAGGATAAGACTGTAGCCAGTAGCTGTTCTGTCGAGCACGACAAAGCAGAGGAACATGGCATCTGAAAGCATCGTCGTTATGAGCGATGATGAGGACCGGGATGTGGATAGCAAGATGCCCTCTGACAGTGCCGTTGTCATTGTGAGCGATGATGAGGAGGATGAGGTCATGACGATCACTCATTTTGCAGAAGCTTATAGCGTGCCAAGGGTTTCGTTTGCAGTGCGGCGTTTGGGCCTCCAAGTTGGACCAGCGATGGACCTGAAGACAGGCTATGATTTCGTGACAATGGAAGGTCGAGCCAGAGCTCGTCGCATTGTGACAGAGATGAAACCCCTGTTCCTCATGTTGAGCCCGCCCTGTCGCATGTACAGCCGACTGCAGATATGCTTTAAGAATTTTGCGCGAAGGCCTCCAGCTGAAGTGGCTGCGGACAAACTCCAAGCTGATGTTATGCTGGAGTTTGCAATGCAGATGGCAGACGAGCAAGTGAAGGAGGGCAGGTTCTTTGGTTTCGAGCACCCGGTCGATGCACTCTCCTGGGAACAGCCGTGTGTAAAGAAGCATCTGAGCAACTGCTATTCCTGTGCTTTCGATCAGTGCCGCCTGGGTCTGGAGGACCCTATCACCAAGGAGCCGATAAGAAAGCGGACTCGTTTCATGTCGAACAGCCCGCACATTCTCCACTTTGAAAAGTTTCAATGTTCCTGCACAAGGCGACACAAGCACATACGTGGCTTTGTTAACCTGAACGGCTCTATTCCTTTGAGTGAGTTTTGTCAGCAGTACACACCACAGTTGTGCCAAGAATTGGCCCACGTGGTTTATGCTGCTACGACACATGCACCGTAGCTGTTCGCACAAGGCAATTATTCTGTGTCCTATTGTTCTTTTAAGCACGATCTTAGAAATAACAGCAGTGCAGCGGCAGCGGACCGATTCACATTGCATCGTCAGACCAATTAAGAGAGCAATTCAAGTATGAGGAAAAACATGCGAAGCTTTGATTCTGCACGACAGAGACGTAGCAGGCAGCAGGAGCACAGCCTCTGTCTTGTTCCCGGAAGTGTGCATCTCTGCTGCTAGAAGCTGGAAAACGAACATCATCAGGTCATGCTGATGACATGGAGATCAAGAAAGATGCCTGGCACTCAATGTTGTTTTGGAGATGCAGACCGCTGGAAATTCTGATTGATTGAAGCTGCAGTGTGCTCATGTGACCAGTGTGATTGTCAGCCCGTGTTAGAAGTTGGCTTTTCCCGGGTGAGAAGAAGGTGCAGGACTACAGAATAGCATTCTATGAAGCTCTGAGAGAGAGCTATCACTCTGTGAGAGAGTGAGATCAGAAGACGAGAAGAAGGTGCAGGACTACGTAGTAGCATTGTATGAAGCTCTGAGAGAGAGCTGTCGTCACTCTGTGAGAGAGTGAGAGAAGAAGACGAGATAGAGAGAGAGAGAGAGAGCAAGAGAGAGAGCAACGGAGTCTGTACAATTGCAGAACCTGACGATCAGGACCCTGCGAGCTCAGACCCCCCAGATCGTCAGATTACGTTTGAAATCTGACGTACTCCTTGTTCTGTTATATGAACCTGACGTACTACCCCCCCTGAGCTCGTGACCCTGCGTTGGTCAGATCCTCCATCTGTTATATGAAGATGGTCAGATTACGTTTGAAATCTGACGTACTCCCCCCCCTGAGCTCGGACCCCCCTGTTCGTCAGATTTGGCCTGTGTGGGAGTCTCCGAATTCCTGCAAAATGACAACTTTTCTCGTCGCGAAGTCTTGGCTTTAGACTGGACACCCGCCTTTAGGGCTGCTGTCTGTCATGGCGGATGTGAAGATGGAGGTCGCGAAGTCGGAGGAAAGCGACACGACCTTTCCTCACGAGACAGTGACCGACGAGAATTTCCGCGATGTTGTTCTGGACATTTTCGAGAAGGAGGTGAACAGGTTCAAGAACTGTTGGGCGTATCTCGACCATTTTCACAAAGACCGGTCTGCGTTTGCTGATCAGCTTCGTGCCCTCTTCCCACAGAAGCCCGAGGTAGAGTACCTCTTGTCCTATGTGATTCCGTCGACTGGCAACTTCAGCGTATCTCTTTGGCACTTGAACTGGGGCCCGGATTGCTCCACAAAGCCGGTGCCTGACCGTGTCACCGTGAGATCATTGCTGGATGAGTACTTGACAAGTGGAGTGGCGACCCGAGCAGAGCCCCTGATGGTCTACCAGGCACAGGACCCTGGGAGGAACGATTTCATTCTTCATTTTACCAAAGGAGCCGCAAGGTCAGCAGCATGCCTTGTGCTGGCCAGCCTTGTCATGCGGTACGGCTTCCATTTGAAGACCTTCGTGCAGGAGAGCATGTGTGAGATTCATGTCACACAGGCAGACTGTCGCTGTGACATTGCCTCAGTGGCCCTGTTCAACGCAAAGATGAGTGCACGCGGGGACATTCGCAAGGCTCACTGCTCCTTGGACAGCTGGGTTTTGTGGGTGTGTAGTTTCGGTGTTCTTATGTCATCAGTTACCCTTTGAGCGAGGTTGCTTGACATGGCTGGCCAAAATGATGGTGCTGAAGAAGCACAATCATGATGCAACCAGTATCATTAAGGAGTGGAACCGCACGTGCACGAAGGATGGGCAGATCAAAGGGGCCAAGCACACGGCCCTGTTGTCCCTGTTGAATCTGCCACAGTTTTGCGTCGATGCGCTGCTCGAACACTTGAACGAGTTCGGGTCTCAAGGAGCATTCAACGACAACCAATGGAGCAACAAGAAGGTGTTGCCAGGTGGTGGGCCGAAGGGCTACCCCAGAGAATGGAACAGTCGGCTCCAGGTGACGGACGAAGGCTTCTGCCTCATGATCAAGTACCTGGACAATCGACACCGGATGAAGCTTGCAGGCTCACGATGCAAGTTCAGCGGGTCGGATGTGGAGGAGGCCGCTTTGGTATGCCAGCTCTTGCACTCCCTTGTTCATGAGCTGGAGGACTCAGTGCCCCTGCAGGTCAAGGAAGACGTATGCACACTCCTGGTGCAGGGAGACATGAACTTGCTTCTGCAGCTCCAAGGAGCCCTTTCAGAGAAGAGAAGCAACCTTGCTCCTGCAGACATTCTGGTGCTCAGGGAATACATCCAAAAGCATGTCGCAGACGGGGAGAAGAAGCTTCGCAACCTTGGTGCGGTTTCGAACAGCATCAATCCGGGACAGCTGGAGCGGCAGGAGTTCGATCTTGCCATTGCTTCCATGCGACACGACATGGACGTGTATGGTGCTTGGCTTGTTCGGAGCCGCGATCGCGAAGCCGGGGTTTATCATCAGAATCTTCAGTGGAGGCTTGGCAGGCAGAATCGAGCCAAGGAGATGGCTGAAGGCATCATGCGGCGAAGCTCGGAAACTTGGAGGATGGAGTTTGCTGTTTTGGAGTCAGCAGCCCAGGGCCTCAAGACCATCCAAGAGGCCATGAAGTACATCTGCAGGCTAAACCAGATTTCGGCGGAGAACTTGAAGTGCATCGTCATCCTGAATTGGTGTGCACCCTCTTTGTTTTCGTCCCAAGTTCAGCGAGATCAAGCATCTTTGATGGGGGCCATCTTGAATGGGCAGTAGCTTGCCAGATTCTGGCATGATGAAGTTTGCGTAGGTCCTTTTCAATTTCTGTACACAGTCACAAGCAATTAAATTAAGGAATGCCGTGGCTGGAGGCGTGTGCCTGACACCTACGTTTACATACAACAAGGGTCAGCTTCACAAGACAGAGCAGGAGGCTTTGAGGCTCCTTGCGGAGTCCAACCTCAATCTCGACCACGTTGCTGTGGTGCCCTACAAAGGGCGCAACGACGACCGAGAGAAGAGGTTCAATGGGGTTTGATTTGTGTTGTTATTCCGGGATGTGGGACTCTGGTCACGTGTGATTCACTTGACTGTGACAGTGTCAGGCCACTGCTCATGCTCACCCGCATTTTGATGCCGATGGACGAAGTGGCTGCTGAACGGGCTCAGGAGAACTGGCGACTGTCCGCCATTTTCAGAAAACCCCTATTGGAAGAGGCGGACCTTCCCCAGACCCGGGACCTTCTGGCGATAGAGGATCTGGATCCTGCGGCATTGCCAACAACCACCGATGCCCATGTCCATGTGCCCCAGCCAGAGAAGGCAATGCAGATCGGAGAGTCAGCAGCGAGGTCGATCCTCCGAGGCTTCTTGGCCCAGGACTCCACAGTTGGAGCCACTGCGGGTACGAGAAGTGCGTTTCTGTGCATTGACTTGAGCCCGCACACCTGTGACTTCAGCAGAGCCGCCCTGGCTGAGACCAAGTTGCCCGTGTACTACCTGGGCTTGACAAGGAGCGAGGGAGAGCTCGAGTGGTCAAAATCCTTCGTGAGGGACTGGCTGGCAGACAGCTTTTTGGACGGGAGCCTCCAGCTGCCACCGACAATGAGCCTCCCCCCGATTGAGATGCCCACCGAGTTGCAG